TCTTGCCTCGATTCAGAGGCGCGGGGCGGGGGGGGGAGGAACCGGAGGCTCCTCTTCCTGAGGCCAGAAATCATGCAGGGGAAACAAAACAGGAGGCACAGCCCAGGGAGCTATTAGGGGTTGTGGCCGACAGCCTCTTGGTGGCTCTTTTTTGCATCCACGGACTCTGCCCCCAGGCAGCCCCCACATGCCAATGCTCCACGGTCGGTGTGCCAACCTCAGCGCCCTTTCCTCGAGGAGGGTGGACCGCTGGAGAGCTCCCCCGGGTGCCCAGGGAGCAAAGAGAGAGGGTGGCCGCTCAGTCTTTGTCTCAGCCTCTTCCAGCTCTGGCTTTAGAAAACGAAGCTTCTTCTGCAAAGGAACGGGTGCCTGGTGGGACGCCAGCCATTCGGCCCCTTCTGCCTCCCTGGACAGCCTGCTGGCCTCCCCGCTTTTTGAGGGGCAACATGGCGTGGTGGCACCCAGGGAGGAAAGCAACCTTCCCTCAGGCCCAGTGGATTGTGAGGGAGAGAAAGGGGGGGGGCGAGGCCAGCAGCAGGTGTGGCTGACGGGACGAGGCACACCTGCTGCAGAAACACCCTCTCCCAACCAAGGTGGGAAAGATGGCCACCTCTGAGGCCACACAGCGGCTGAAGCCAAGTCTCCTCACGAGGTGGCCTCCTACTTCCTTAGCCGGGGCTTGGAAGGAAGAAGTTCCAAATTCTACCTTCACAGAAGCAACACTTCTAATAAAGCGCGCTAGAATTCGAGTAAAATGGGGCTCTCTTTGGAGACAGGACAACTTTTTTTGTTGACTGTGGAGAAATTTAATCAATGCAGCAGTTATGTGCATGCAATTTATCTCCCATCACAGGTACAAAAAGCCTCCCCACAAATGGCTAACACAATGGATGTAGCCAACGTCTGGTCAAAAACAATCTTAGTATTTTATTTCTGATTTTACCTATGTATGCTCCTAATTTGCAATTGTGCAACCCTCTGAAGGAAGGAAAGAAAGAAAGAAAGAAAGTATGCTCCTAATTTTCAATTGTGCAACCCTCTGAATGAAAGAAAGAAAGAAAGAAAGAAAGAAAGAAAGAAAGAAAGAAAGAAAGAAAGAAAGAAAGAAAGAAAGAAAGAAAGAAAGAAAGAAAACACCTTTATATGTAAGGTAATGCAATGAGCAGATACAAATTTTCTTCTTGAATATATTTCTAAGGACCTTCTTAAACAAAATGTTCAAGTTTCATGCCGTTCTTTTATCTGCCCTAAGTTGTCAGTCAGGAACTGTGGTGGAAAATAATGGAAAAAATAACAAGGTACTTTTCACACACTCTAAAAGATAACGTGAACAAATTACTTTCTTTCTTTTTTTTTTAAGGAACTTTTCAAGTTGTGGTCTTAACAACTTGGATATGAGCCATGCCAGAAGGTGCTCTGCTTGACCAACCAAACAGGGCTGGAAGTGGAGGTGAAGGCGCTGCCGTTTGTGTTGATTTTGTTGAGCGACATTTATTTATTGATTTGATATATAGACCACCCATCTGGCAGCCAAGGCCACTCTAGGCTTGTTTACAACAAATAACAAAAAACAACGGAGTAAGAAAATAGCACATTTGTTAATTTATACAAACCTCCTCCCTAAAATAAGGTCTTCCCCAACCCAGAACCACTGGGGAGCGAAGCAGGAAAGAATGAGTCCTCACAAGGAGACTGGCATATGACAATGTTAGGAGTTTCTCTGAATCATTCCTCCCACCTTTGTTTCAGCAAAATCCAGTAAACAACAATCTCTTTGTAGTTTTCTCTAACACCATGTAGCCAAAAGAGAGAGAGAAAAACACACAGTACACAATGCTCAAGACAGTAGAACAAAGAAAAATACATCACTAGGACAGCATAACAAAACTCAAATTAGCAATTACAACTCAAGTCAATTGCACAGTTTTCCATGAACATTGTAAGGTGGGGTGAAAGACAAGGAGGAATAATTCAAATGCTTCCACAGTTGCAGAGATCTGGGTGTTCATGAGCCAGGAATTCACTGAGCGGATGCATATAAACCAGCGTTTTTCCAAGGGATGAGAGAAAGGAAAAGCAAGTGCTTTCTAGGTCATCCTGCCCAAGAAGGCTGGCCCAGGGTGGTGCCTGGCACAGAAACCCAACGGCAGATAGATGCTGGCCATGCAAACACGTGCAACTTGACACCACAGGATTTGAAGTCACTCACAGCAGTTGGAGGATGAAGAAAAAGCTTAAAATGAGCAGCTATAAGTGGAAATTAAATACCCAGGCACTTCAGCCAGGTTCCTCTCATGCGGTTTTCACTGTGGGTACTTCCGATGTCGTCGCAATGCCCTCCCTCTTGAACCAAGGAGCAAACTGTTTATCCCTGAAGTGGTGCTGTGTCTTCTTAAGAGCAAAGAGTTGCACAAATACTTCTTCATTCCATGCCTGTTCCATGAGAACATTGGACCGGTTTGTCCTCACCTGTGTTGCAAAGGATAATGGACATTTCCCCACCTGTTCATAAAGTCTGATTCCACCCCACTCTACCATTTGATATAAGAGCATATGCTATAAAAATTGAAGGATGGTGATGATTAATAGATGTGTTTCAAACCCATCGGGCACTATGCCAGCACATTCACAAACACAAGATTGGGGCAATTCCATGCTGAACTGGCACACTGCCAACTATGGAACTGTATCTGTTTTTACCTGCTCTTTTTATTAATTATAATATTTCTTAATTGTTTGGGTGATCGTTTTATGCCATCTTCCCAGAGCAATGTGCCCTGCCAGTAAGTACCCAGAATGGTCCTTAGATAGAACTCCACTGCTCTCTGTGGGTTGGGTTCCTAGTCACACAATTTTGGTGGGCATTGTTTTCAAAAGCGCTTTCAAGAGGGGTGAAGAACAAGCAGCCTGTATGGGTGTTCTGTTCTTTCGTACAGCCCATACGCAGGCTTTTAAAATCCTATTGAGCATCTACAGATAGATATAGATGAAGCCCTTTGGAGACCAAGTAGAACAGATGGAGGAAATATGTGTTAACAGACTAAAGCCTGATGTGATGGCGTAAGATCCACTCTTTCTCCAGTTGAAGGATTAACGCTGAATGCAACAGAAATGGCAGAAAAGTCTTTCGGTTTTCAGGAGGAAGAAAATGTCTCTAAGAGCATGGAGATAATTTGTTCTTTCTGTTTCCTGCTCCTGTATGTTGTCCAGGGAAACTTGGGAGATACTGGATCCCAAGCAACAGATGATCTCTCCCTATCTCACTAACCTAAATGTATCCACTTGATCTAACCCCCATTACTGCAACACTGAATGAGAACTGGCTGTGTTGAGCAAGAAGCTAAAGATCTTACAAGGTGCTCCTGCCAACAACTGGGGTTACCTCAAAAGACACCACAATCAAGCGGTGTGTTTCTTTTAAGCTTATTTACTGGCATCTGATTGTATTAATCTTCTGTTTCCCAGATTCCAAAAACAAACAAAAACTCTCCACAAAATTCAGATATTTTTTAATGACCAATATTTTGTTCCAAAAACATACAACCTTATCAGCTAAATTAATAAGAGCTATTTTACAAACATACATACATCTGGATAATTAGAACAATAAATTCTTTTTTTATTTCCTTAGACATTCAAACATGATCAGTTAAAAATACAGGATAATTAATAAGAGGACATTTATCCCCCATTTTGCTTTTTTGAAGAATATTTCCATAATGGGCTGCTTTTATTTTGCTCAAAATTAAATCCTGTTAAAAGGAGTAAATGACTGTATGGTGAACAAATAAAATACATTTCTACAAGTTAGAAAGTTTCACACAGCTCCTTTTCTTTCCTTTCTTTAAAGAGCAAAGTAGTGTTCTGGCTGCTGTATTCCTTTGGGAGAACACTTGCTTATCTGTGTTACCTGTGGGCAGGTGAGGGAAAGAAGGTGGCCAGAAGGGAAAATGAAGCAGCTCTTTGGAATGGAGCAGAGGAATCAAAATTCACCCATGAAATGGAAGCGTCAGTGAGACACCAGGGGGGAAAACACAAGTAAATCACAGACAACTTGTACTTAAAGAGCAGAATATATTTCAAACATGTTGGCCATTTTACCATTATGCACAACTGGAAGAGTTCAAGATGAAATCTCTGAAATCAAGCCACTTTTCCCAAGCTTACCTTGGGAGCTACACAAGCTCTTTTGCAGAAACAAGGCCAAATAATCCAGTATACCCAATATTCATATACAATGTGGAATCTGCGTAGACCCTTTTGCCCCCCCCACCACTAACCCCATTTCTTGCTCATTCGAAAGGTAAACTGTGGAGAACAGATTAGCAGGGGGTGGCCCAGTTACATGCAACTGGCCCAAGACTATTACACAAAGAAACTCTGTACAGAAAACTTAAATCTTATTCTTTCCCAGTCTCTTGTTACTGTTTTTTTCTCAGCTCACTGAGATCTGATCTACACAAACAGCAAAAAAAGAAGTGGGGGAATAAGGCGCAGGGTCCAAAAGGGGGAGAACTGCTTTAACTGCAGCCAAGAGGACTGCAAGATGAGGGAAGGCTCATACGTTTGAATACCTCCATGCAAAACACCATTTTCCTTTTAAGGACACTACCATGTCAACAAGGTGCAAGGATCAGGCATTTCCTTGGGCAAAACAAATATTAACAATATGATCTCCCTTACCCTGCAGTCTGCCAGGCCCCGAGATGTGGCGGCTGAGAATTATTTTAATCGCTAGTGGAAAACAGAGCTGATGAAAGAAACCATGCAGAACTGCAGGTAAAAGCAACAGTGCTACAGACAGAGAAACGCGCTTTGGTCTCATGTTGACACTGAGAGATGGGAGTTCCACTATAAAAGAAAAGCACATTGGATTCGAGCAACCTTCTCCACCCAACCTGGTGTCTTTCAGACGTGTTCAACTCTCAGAAGCCCCCAGCATGCTCCAGAACTGCACTGTTTATGGTCCCAAGACAGCTCTGGAACTGAAACTGGAAATACACCACCTTCTCTACAGACGCCCCCCCCCAAACTCCCCGGATTCAATCATCTCATTCTGCCTTGCCTGTAACACAAAATGTATGAATGGGCTTCTTAGGAAGCTGCCATCTGGATCCAGGTCTTGCCTTTTGAATCCAAATCCTAATCAATTGATTCTATAATCCAGGTTATTAAAAAAAAACACCAAAAGTATGATTTCCTCAATACAACTGTAGCACAGACACTGTAATATTCTCCTGTCAATTGAGTCTTTTACTGCTTATATTTCTGAGCTGGGAGGAGAAAGAAAAGATTGTTCCATACTACTGTCCGGTCCAAAGAAAGAAATGTTCACAGCCAGTAATACAGAGTAGCAAAGATCTCTTTGGCTGGAATTCCTCATGGCTATTCTACTATTTCTTATTCTTCTTTTTAAAACAACCCCCCAATGGGAATCCTACAAAGTGCATTTTAGTGTTGACCCTCTTCACAAAAATGGTTCTGTGCCTGGGGCCTGTACAGTAGACACATCAGGGAGTGTAATACATCCCCAGGGATTTCAGGTAATGATATTGGGAGCATTCAATGATACTCATTACTCACTATCTTCTCCTTCTTACAGAAGAATAATGCCCTTAACAGGAGATTGCATAATAGAGACAGGCCTGAAACAAACACACCAAGCCAAACACCCCCCAAACACCTCCACCAAGAGGACAAGAACACACAGCACACTGTTTCATATCTCAGAGCAGAAATAAAATGATGGTCACATCTACTATGGAGGACACCCTGGGTTATTTTTTGTTTGTTTTAAGAGGCTGATCCCCAAGGATCTTTTAACAACGCCAAAGAAACATTTCTGCTAACATCCTATGCTGCTGGCCTAGTAGCAAAGTTTATACAAGAAGTCCTAGAACAACAAAGATCTTGAAGCTCCTGGCCAAAAAGGAAGCAAAGAATAATTTGCAAAGGAAATCTAGCCTCTTGACTCCCCTTAAATCTACTCATGCTAGGGAGAGGCCCAAGATATGAATGTGGTTCCTGATAAGATCTAGGCATAAATGTCTAAGGTATGGCAGAGGAAGTTTTAAAGAAAACCACAGCACTACACACATGCCAATCCAGTTCAAAGGCCAGAAAAATGCCACTTAAAATTGGAGGAGGGGGGTATTCCTTAAAAGCCCACATTCATTTTATCAGTGGAGGCATAATTTCTATAAAGCCAGGAGATAGTAAAATAAAGAGACATGTCAAAAACTGTAGGTTTCATTACTTGGGAAAAGTCTGTAGGACAACCTCGTGGCTCTTGGATCGGCACAGGAAACTTGTACAGGTGTGGAAGGAAACCCTTTTACTTCGGGGAACCTCCTGCCGGTGAAGTGAGACAGTTAACCACACAACCGGCTTCCAGAAAATCTTCCTGCCATCTCAATAAGCATCAGGTTCATAGCTCTGAAGTGTATCTGGGGGAAGGGGATAAAAATAATCCCTGTACAACTGGCTCAAGCGAGTTGTACTATTTTTCCTGCAGAAGAAAAGAAAGGTTTTCTGTTTTGCATGATTGGAAAACAGCGATTCTGATTCTTGGCCATCACAGCTACAGGGAAAATGTGTCTGTGTAGTAATGGAGCAGGCAGTGTGACCTTCGCACTGGAAGGAGGAAAGAAAAAAGAAAGAAAGAAAAGGTTCTCCCTATTAAACGGCACATACAGCATAACTGAGGAGGGGAATATGACACTGTGGGGGTTTCTCGCATTTGGCACTTTTGGAGCTGGCTTGTTGAAAAAAAAGACACCCAATGTTTTGGGTAGCTGGTGCTGGAAGAAAAGCATCACCAGCATCCGACAGCTGGCTGTGGTGAGTTTTTCAAAGGAAGATACTGTATCCTTAACTGGCCGCCCTACCTACCCCAGTATCAATTCTGACAACCAGTCTGCATTCCCCAGTGTTTTTGCATCTGCACTGGGAGCGTTCCATTTCCATCCTCAGGCAGGGGTTCAGTTTCTGAATGTCATGATTTGGCTAGAAAAATACTATAGTGCTGCTTTCATTTATTTTGCCCCACCTCCGTGGATGTTTCTGAGCATCCAACGTGACTTCAGAGCACTTTGGCACAAAGAGTGCAATACAACACCATCACCCCGAACCATGCCTTGTCCTCCCTTCCCACAGAAAGATCAACAAAGGCCTATTTCTGGATAGGAAAGAATCCTAATCTTAGAAGCAGCTCTGGCTTTCTCCAGGAGCAGCTACTTGCAAGAGGAATGGTTTGGCAGGCACATGGTAACAGCTCTGAAAGGTTTCTAATACCTTTGCCCTGCTCTGGGACGCAACCCCCTCCCCCTCGCCACATCTCCCCAAAAGATATACACATGGGGATGGGGAGGGGGGGGGGAAGAGAGAAGAAATAGAAGTCAAATCCCACCCTATTCCTCATCTGACCATGTGTCTCTGAAGAAAACCAGACTTCCAACTTTCAAGTGCCTCGCTGCATAGTGCATGGTGAACTGCCGTTGCACGAAAAGGCCTGCCCATGTATTCTGTTACACGTGTAACTCTTTTGAGAGGCAGGCAGGTTGCTGGCAGAATCCAATCCAGTGGAAAATCAAGACTCATACATACCTCCGCCCTGAATTCAGGAGTAGAGGATGCTGGGGGCCTATAAACTGGCACTATCCTTTTTTTTTCTTTTTTAAAAAAGCAAAATAAAATACAAATTAAAGTGTGCTTTCAGTACACGGAATGAAGTCAAATAAATACATTGATTTTCTTTTCTTTTTGCAATGTCTAAATACATTTGTATATCCTACACCCAAAGCTTTATACATTTGGTTTATTTTTCCTGATCCTCTTTTTTTTCCTCTGTTTGGAATCAAAATGGTTTTCTGGTAGTAAGAGGAGGAGAACAAAAATCACCATCCCTCCCTGCCGAGCTAGTGCAGAGGTGTAAAAGGAAACGGCCCACCCCGCTGTTCTGCTGGAGCACCGCTTGTGCGCTCAGATGGTCCACGGAAAGCGGCCTCGCATCCTAGAAGTCCAGGCAGAAAACCAGCAGGCATGGGGGCAAGGCTATTGCTTCCATCCAACCTTCAGCCACATCTAGGAAGTGGAGCACGACTAACTGGTATCTGAGGAGGAGAAGAAAAAGAGAGAGAAAGGAATGGAGAACAGGCTGGCAAGGAGGCAAGGAACACAGATCATAAAACACAGGACCCTTCAGCTATGTGCTGCAGCCAAACGGCATTGGGCGATGTGCTTCCATCCCGCTGAGGTTATTTTGCTCTAGTACCATACTTGTCTCAGACAATGAGACACTAGGTTTACATACTCGTCTACATACAGGTAATATGCCTCATCTTGTTACAGTGACCGAAAGAAAATGCCCTCTATAATACTGAGAGATTTGTCTGTACTGAAAAGTTAAAAGTCAGCACAGAAGGAGAAGAGAAACACGTTCTGTTCCCTGCAGTCACAAAAAGGAGAATGCAAGCAGACGGGAAAGGCCCTTTATCAACAGCAACTGCAAACTAACCACCGACCACACAGGGGAAAGAGCAACACAGACACACAAGGCTAAGCTTTCTACAGGGGTCTGCATAAGAAGAACAGCCAAGGATGCAAATTACAAGGAAAAGGCAAGTGCAAATTTGGATACAGAGAGTAATGGATTGCCTTTCCCTTTTTCAAAGTAACAAAGATGACTCCCAACCATTTTCTAACCCAGGTCTATGCTTGTCTCTTAAATCAAAAGTTAGGGAGACACAACTTTGGAAAAGTGTTTTTGGTCAATCTTCCATCAACTCCTTAGAACCATAAGTCCACTTAGAGCTATATAATAGTTCACATATGAAAGGTGCTTGAGGGATAAGTGGAAAGGAGGATACCACCATACCACAAAAACCATGGACACGAAAGAATGCGTTGTCAGAAAACCTCAGCGTTGATTTACAATGTTCTGCAGCTACACAGAAAGTTCTGAGACTTTCATTAGAAAGATTAACAACTGGAAGCCAAGGTCCTGCGATTATGAGCCGATTAAATTACTGGTTTAAAAGTGCCTCGAGAAGTGGGGGATACATACCTGAGTGCTCCTCTGTAGGGACTGATCCAGCCAGCTTTTGCTGGAGAAGAACAGCATAGTTCTCTTCTACTTCCTGAAAGATACAACCCAAAAGACATGTTCATCTGCAGCCCATTCCAAGAGGCAGCTGACTTAAGCACACCGTCACTGTAACTGGCAAGGCTCTGAAGCAATTTCACTCCTCTCAAGACACTGCTGGCAACCCCAGCTGTGGTGCGTGCGTGCGTGCATGTGTGTGCGTGCGTGTGTGTGTGTGTGTGTGTGTGTGTGTGTGTGTGTGTGTGTGAGAGAGAGAGAGAGAGAGAGAGAGAGAGAGAGAGAGAGAGTTCCAGTTCCTTTCAGCCATTATTATTCTCTGGATGTAGCAACAGTCTTGCAGGCACAGCAGCAGTGATACAGTGGCTCTCCAAAACAGCAAGTTCTCTGTAGTGAGTGACATCATTTTGAGACTGTATGGGAATATTCCCCCCCCCGCCCCAGCCATTTCTTCCGATACACCCGTATTACAAGAGTGTTCGCTAAACAATGGCTATGCAACCACGGCTGGAAGACAGAAACCCGGCGCTTCCCATTATCTTGTGGACTCAGACTCATCGAGCTTATTTTTCAAAGGGAGAAGAGATGGAGTGACTATGGGGCAAATGCCGCGTCACACTTTCATGAAGTAGGTTCTACTCGTATTCACAAAAATCGATTCCCGTGCCTGAAAAGGTGCAGCTGATGAATGGCCCTGTCGGACTGTTCTAAGGCACAGCAAAAAGCCAAACCCACGTCTGATGGAACCAAGGTTGATTTCCTCAGCACTGAACTAGCGATGTCTAGCCTTTATCCAACTTAATCATCACGGCTGCAAGGGCTGGTGCTATTGGGAGGCAGCAAAGGTAGGTTCACCATCTGAACTAGCAAGAATTAACGCTTTGCTACATGCCTCATGTTTGGCTGACCTGTGCCTCTCCAAACTCTTGGGATTCTCATGAATGTTATACAACAGCAATAACCATCCAGCTAGCTAGGAGGCACACTGGGCTGCCTCTCATTCTGTTTTCACAGCCCTCGTTTTGCCAGGCCATGTAGTAACCATCACTTCTCTTAGGACACATTATCCTCATATCCTTTGTATTTGACTCCTACAGTCATCTTTGGACTCACAATTACGGAATGACTACCTTGTCAAATCTAGGTCCAGATTCCCTCCCACGTTGCCTAAACCAAACATTAACTCCAGCCTCTTTCGGCCTCTAGCAAACATACAGGTCTTTAATAATTTTGAACACATTGGCTTCAGTAAATCCTGACTGATCTTATCTTCTAGATTTCTTCCCTGGGATGTTAAAATTACCCATTCTAATAAAGCTGTATTTGGCCCTAATGTCATTCCTGACATTCTTTCTTGGCCATGAGGTTGTCTTCCCACATCCTACTCCAATTTTACTCCAGGATTTTTGTTTTTAAAACATTTTGCCTTTAAAAAAACGGACACAATACTTAAATCCCGAGCAATTAGATACCTAAAGGGACACATACTGTTATATATTCAACAGACCATCTGCTTCTTCTTGTTTGGAATTTACAGCAGAGAGTTCAACAGCGGTTTCAAAAGTTTCTGTGATTACCATTTAGTTCAATTGATAACCATACTCAGACCCCGAGTAAAACTTGTTCCCAAGTACAATAGTGCCTTGCTTAGCGATCGCTCCGTTGAGCGATGAAATCGCTTTGCGATGAACTTTTGGCCATCGCTGGAGTGATTGCTTAGCGATGGCCCCTATGGCTAAAATTCGCTTTGCGATGTTCGCGGGGAAGCGATCATGGCAAAGTGAACTTTTTTAAACAGCTGATTAGTGGTTCCAAAATGGCCGCCGCAAAAACAAAATGGCCACCGCTGTTTTGCCTCGCTGTAAGATGAGCTTTTGGCCATCGCTGGAGTGATTGCCTAGCGATGGCCCCTATGGCTAAAATTCGCTTTGCGATGTTCGCGGGGAAGCGATCATGGCAAAGTGAACTTTTTAAAACAGCTGATTAGCGGTTCCAAAATGGCCGCCGCTGTTTTGCCTCGCTGTAAAAATGGCCGCCACTATGGAGGAATTTTGCTTTAAGGTAAGTTTTTAGCCCATAGAAACGTATTAAACACGTTTTAATAGGTTCCTATGGGCTTTTTAATATCGCTTAGCGATTAAATCACTTAGCAATGTTTTTTCCGGAACGGATTAACATCGCTAAGTGAGGCACCACTGTATGTCTCTGGATTTCCCACCACTCACCCTCTGTACGCTTTTAAAAGAAAACGTTATGTTGGGATATCGATGTATAAAAGAACACCAGGTACCTTTAAGTGTTCCAGGTTGGCTTCTATCTTCTGGATGTAATGCATTATGAGAGTACGTGATTCTACAGAGAAGGAAGGCCTCAGTACACCGGAGGAAGATTCTGTTGCTGCTTCCCAGTGGGGGGCCATTAACTCCTCTGGAAACGGCGAGCTGGCTCCGCCTGTCTGTGTGTCCTGCAGAGAGTCTGGCTCCTGGTGGGCAGAGTCCATTGTGCTGTTGCCTGCAGTGCATTGTAGAACCAGCGAAGTTACCTCCTCATCAGTAGAGCTCTCCTGTACTGTGCCATATCCCTCAAGGATCAAATAATTTCCTGTGAAGAAAACAACACTAATGCTCCCGTATAATAGACGCTCACCTACAGCAAGGCAGCAGTTTAGGACATAGGGATCTCCTCGTTATGTCCATGACCTGCCATGCAAAGCTGGTGTCACCTTTAAACGAAGCTCTCTTCTCCGGCAATTTTGCTCCTACCTCCTCCTGAGAGCATTCCATCTCACTGGGAACAGCGCCCACTTCATCCAAACCCGTAGAGAACACACATGGCCTAATCATACAGTTCTTCTCCAGGTAGAGAGACTACCTTGCTCTTCCAGAGGCAGGTGGGTGAATAACAAAGGCTGTCTTTTCAAGGGAAAAACAGTATCTACAGTGAAGACATTGTAGATACTGTTTTCCCTTGAAAAGGGAACGTACAGGATAGCAAAGACCTCAGGAAAAGTTCCCATGATTGGCTTGGGACACTGGAGACAGAGAGGGTTTGGAATTTTTCTCCTATAGCTTCCAGAGGGCATTCCAGACCTTTGGGCTATGTTAACAAGAGTATCCCTCCAGAACAGTCCTTCGCATGGATCAAAATTAGTAAGTAAAAATTCTCAGCGGAATCTGTCTGGCAAAAGCAGAGCCCCCAAAGCTCAGTGTCCTATGTTTCAATTTTGCTCACATGGCCCCTCACACACCCCTCGATGCGCTCCCCCTATAAGCTGCTGAGGTGACTCCAGCTGGTGGGCTGAGCTGGGAGAGGCCCTCCCCAAAACACCTGCCACCTTTGATGCTCTGTCCCTCAAGCCCTGCAGCTGAGCCTGATGCAGATGGACAGCTTGATCCTGACTGCACTCCCCCCCTCCCCCTTCACATCTCTCTCTTCGAGCAGCAGGGGAAAAAGTCAGGAGAGAATAAGGCAGCTGCAGAGCACGGAGAAGAAAGACGCTGCATCACAGAAAAAGCCCTCTCCAACTGCTAGTACCTGCCAAGTGACAGCAGTGGCTATGAAAAATATCCTATGAAAAATATCCCCTCTCAAGGTAGTCACGAGCGTCCAAGTGCTCGCCTGAACTCTGGGGAAAGACCACCTCAAAAGAGAGCCCCTTGCTCGTGCAGAAGCCACGTGAAATGCTCAAGAGGTGTGTGCTGTTTGAAATATCTGCCTCCCCTTGCTCTGGGAGCCAAGAGAAAACACAGGTATCCTGCATGCCTTCAGAGCCAGTCCCCTTTACTAGTTAATACACATGCCTGTAACCGCCATGAAGAGTAAGCGGTTGCTGATTCGTGGCTATAAAGAAATCCTTTCTGTGCCCTCAGAGCCCACCATGTAAGCCGTCATGCTAACTGCCGTAATACTTTATGTCACCTCTATGTGGATGGGTGGAATTTACTCACCTGAGATCCGCAACTGCATCTCTTCCTCTTCCTTCCTGTCTGCTATTTCACTCTCGGACTGGTTCTCATCGCTGTGCGCTTCCCGAGCATCAAAGAAATGCTCTCCACCATCCTCAGGGCCCACCCCTTCCAGTTCAGCAGTTGGGGTGTCAGGGTTTGTGCTCAAGGGATCAGTTAGCTGACAGCTACTTGACGTCACGTCCCCTGGTGGCACAAATTCTCCTGAAGTCCGGTGATCTGAGCAAGGTCCGACAGGACTTGTTCCTGTGCCAGAGGGGTCCCTACGTGTCCCAGAACTGTCGTCCTCTGAGTGCTGCTGTCCTCGCTGGACCCCACTTCCGATCTGGTTCCCCTGCTGAACTGTCCTATGTCTGGAAAAACGCTGCCAGTCTTCAAGGGACTCCTGTTCGGACAAGCCAAGCTGTTGCATCAGCAACTTCTTCAATAAGCTCACTGAAAGGGAACACAGCATGGTCACGGGCCTTGGTAATTTGTCTCCTGAAAATTTAGCTGCCTCTTCTTGGACGTATCAATGTTACAAGGTCAGAGCTTGATTCCTCTGAGAAGGCACAGAATGGGAAGGGACTCTCATTGTCCTGCTCAAGAAGGTAAAACAGAAATGACCCAGGCTCCCTGGAAAGCTTCAGAGCAACAAGGCAGGCAGGGCTGAAGCCAGAAGCAGAAGACACGGTCTTCTAGGCTGGCACTAGGATTGGTATACATCAATATTGTCTTGTATAGCAAGGAACGGAAGACGTAGCTGTTCTCTCCTCCTTAAAAGGCGACACTCCTCCATTACCCCATGGAGATTTAGGAAATTCCCTACCTGACGATGCACTTGCAGCCACCCATTTGGGCAGTTTTTAAAAGGGATTAGACACAGTTTACACAGTATGAAGCTATCACTGGATACCAGCCATGATGGCTGCGTATCAGTCTCAGAGCCAGTATGCCTTGAAAGTGGGTTGCTATGGCACATAAGCCCAGGAGGTTGCTTCTGCACTCATGTCCTGTTTTCAGGCCTCCCACAGACAACTGGTGGGTCAGTGTGAGAACAGAATGCTGGACTGGACAGGACTTCCCTCAAATGCTGCCTGGCTCGTCTTATATTCCTTTGAGGCTGGGCTGCGAGTACCTGGAGTATGGGTACCGCTTGGCAACTGGAAAAGGGAAGCTGTGGTTCCGTTTTTCTCTAGCCCTATAGCAATTTTAACTGGAAAGAAGGTTCTGATGGCCAACTCTCATCTTTCTAACACCTCTCTAAGGCAGAAAAGCCATGACTAGCCGGAGGAAAGACTTCATAAACATGTTTCTTTTCTTCTTCAAACTACACACATTCTGCTTGACTGGGTTTTTAGGGGGAGGACAGAGTCAACCTGATTCCTTTAAGAATGGTATCCCCTTTTAACTCTGCCTGTTCTGTTCGGATAGTAGCACATTCCATTGACTAAGGGTGTGCTAACGCACCTTTTTCCAGTAACATAATACCTACCCCTCAGAGAACAACACAGCATCCATTTTTGCTGGCAAACCACTTCAGGGGGCTGGGCAACCTGAACATCTGCGGATTTTATGACACCAGCCAGTGCCTTGTCCTGTGCTGTCCTGCCTGCACTTTTTTGGACTATGCTTCTACTGAGAAGTGTAGGTGAGGTTCATTTGAGCCAAGGGAAAAAGGATGGGGAAAAGGATTAGGTCCCTCCACACGGATCCTGCTCCTGGACTTCTCGTGCTCACATATCTTAAGATACTCACAGTTCCTTAGGGCATCCAATGCCCATCGGTCTTCTGAGAGTTGGAATGAAAGCTCTGGGCTTGAGTGGCTGTAATTCTCGGGGGACTCTTTGATCAGCAAGTCTGTTGGGGCTTTTTCTCCGAACTGTCTGCCAGCTGCCAGAAGCCCCTCCTCTTCCACTTTCTCTGAGACGGCTGTGGAGGGAGAGGAAGCCTGCAGCATCAGGGGAGACTCCAGCCCTAGATCTTTCTCTAAAAGCAAATACACACACAAACACAAAAATCGGTGCAGAATCAACACTGCGTTAAGTGCCTCACCAAGTTCAATTTCTCTCCCTGCTCTTTTAGCTCATAGGTTTGGGAAAGGCATCGTAAAATGTTTAAAAATGCTACCAAATTTTTAAAAAGTATCTGTATTTTTTTAAATAGATTATCCATCCCTTGAAGGCTCCCAATGGATGCTAGAAAGTGTTAAATAATTTTCATCAGTTAATTGGTGAAGACAAAATGCCATTAACTAGCTACTGGCTATAAAATTGCACCAAACTTTGAACAATTTAAGTTCCAAAAAACAAGCTTGGAGAATTGTATACCACCATATAGCCTTGTTAAGTTTTGCCCCAGAGGCTCTTCTATATCCAGAAACCACCTGATTAACAAGAAGCTGTACTAGCACAGAAAAAATACGCATGGCATCAATGGGACCCAATAGGAAATACTGGCAATTAACCTTTACCTGGGCTCTGCATGCTGTTGTCAGAAGTGGCCTGTTCTTCCTTCAATTTCTGTTGGTCTTCCTCTTCATGGTCCTCTCTGGAAACAAGGAGGGAGAACATGTCAACTGCATGCGGCTGCATGATCACACAACATTCATTTCAGTTTTAAAGGGATCTTGCATTGTTAAAATGTCTGCAGCCTGAAAAGCAGTATCACTACCACCATACTTTACTTTACTTTAATTGGATTTATACCCTGCCCCTCTAGACCATATTAGTGATAGGGGTTAATGGGAGGGATGGAAAGGGAATACAATGATGTGGGAAATGATTTAAGAGACAACAACGTACTCGCACGGCCCCGACTGAGGTAATGGAATGACCCTTCTGCCTCTTCCAACTTTCACTGTTCCAGCCATCCGTGCAATAAGGTCCTGCCACCTGTAGTTAGAAGAATAAATATCATTTTACTGCAAAGAGAGACAGAGTAGATACTAGGCTTACGTGCTTTTTAAGTGTGTGTTTTAACATATTTAAATCCTTAGGTAAACTTTGTGATTACTATTATTATTATTATATGTTTAATTGATTTTAACTTTGTAATTCATTGTGTTTTCAGTCCCACTTGTTTTAAGCATTATGAGCTTCCCTGGGTACCCTAACCGGAAAAAAAGGTGGCCTGGAATTAAAATAAATAAACAAACAATAACTCAGTATTAACAGCAGCCAATTACGGCAAGAAATTTAAGTATCATTCCAAGAAACACAACACAGCTCGGTGCTCTCCACGTCATTACTGTTCAATTACATATGCGACCAGGTAGAATCCTGGTTCCTCATCTTTAGGGCTCTCCCTGCTGATCTGACTTAAGGTCTATGGGCCATTCTAGAGAGAATGATGAATGTAAAGCATTAACACAGATGCTATGAAGTATCAAAACCTTAAAGGAATTTTACATGCAAACCTATTACTCGGGAACATAAGGTTTATCTCCCTCCTTAGTGGATGATAATAAACAGCAATGGCCCAGTCTGCCAAGCTCACTTACAGAGTCTTTTCTGAAACCGTCTGTGCCACCAGTTCATAAATATGAGCTCCGTTTTCTGACATGGAGATGACGAAGAATGCTTTGTTATCTGGGGAAAACACAGGGCAAGTTAAAGCCAGTTGCACTTCATCTTATTTTGTTTTACCTAGAATGCAGCCTCAACTCTGGAGTCCCAAAGAAGAGAGAGCAAACATGGCTATTGCTGCTGAACAGACTTTCTGAGCAGTCAGTGAACTTCTGCAGCCTCCTAACAGCCAGAGCAAATTTGTACTGAGTCCATTTTTCCTCATAAGGAAGGAGTGGACACAGTGTCAATTCCAGTGAGGAGCAATCAGTATACTGTACTGGTTTTCACAAAGTCTGAGCTAATTTTTATCAACTCAACTTAATGTAGTTAAAGTATATCAAAGAAATAATAGGGTCAGCCAAACATTGTGCTACTTTCAGGATCCGGTCCAGTAGACAGCTAACTAAAACTCACCAAAAACAGGGTACAAAATATAGTCAAAGTATCCTGGCTACTTAGCCAGCAGCCTGTTTCAATTTTGAGAATCCAGGTCTGATAAACCATGGCTTATCAGAATCTTAAGGAATGTTGTGCCTCAGTGTACCCATCCCCTTTCATGTGCACTTCCTAATTTCATATCCCGCAGCACAATGCACTCTTAATAAGTTTCCCAGTCTGCATGAATGGTACTGCGTTAAGCCTTAATTATTATGATTTTGAAAGGAGGGAGGGGAACAGGGAGGTCATGGAATAAATGCACAAACCCTCAGCCCTCTCCCAGTCAGATATGACAATATTTTACCAGATCAGAATCTATAAGGATGAAACGGGTCATGGAATTATTTGAGAAGAAATTCTAAATTATTGCCCATGCTATTTGAATCCACAGGATGGCTAACGACTGAATGCAGACTAACATGCAACTTGGCGTTGTTATTTACCCCAAAGACTTTATGACCCTGGTGGTGGTTGTATATTTTATATAGAGAGAGTTACAAATTTTGCTAGAAATAGTACCAGTACCAACTTATCCCCACTACACTACTACCCGTGGAAGAGGCATAGTTTGTCCTGAGGCGATTTTTCCTCATAAGGAAAGTGCAGACAAGTTCAATTCCAGAGAGAAGCAATTAAGTGTACTGATGCTCAGAAAGCCATGCATCTAAATGAATGTGGCAAACTAGTCAAAAGTAGCAACTCCAGATCTTGAGTTTCAATGCTGGATTCTTAGTAAGCATAAGAGATTGGAGAAAATGTTGGACTGGCACGGAAATCCACAGTTCACAACTAATCTCTGGTGTGGGCTCCTTGGACATGTCCCTCTGAGCCTCCATTGATTTAAGCAGGGTTACCGGTGGCCCTTTCAAACAGCCATTTGGATAAACTAAAAGAGTACTTCCAGAATGTGAAAGGCTACCTTCATGACACACTGCAACAGGTATTTACCCAACAGTAACCTGAGAACGTTTTTCAAAGTTTAGGCAGGTCTGTCTTGGCAGTGTTCCAGAAAGAGGATGATATAACCAGGCTCCTCCTAAATAAATCTCTGTGTCATGAGGCTAGTTGTGGAACAGAAAGAAATAGTTCTAACGTCCATGCTTCACTCAGGATTTATCTGGTTTCAAGCATGTATAAGTTAACTAGCACAAGACCTGGAACTACAAACTGGTGTGAACTCATTTTTTTTTCCTATTGGTACAATGGCTCCATCCAAGAAAATCATCTTTCTCAACTCCATGTTTTTTCTGTGACTTACGGGCCTTCTCAGCTCTACTAACCTGTGGCCACCTGGCGAACCAACACAGTGTTTAGTTTGATCACAGGACTGAATGTATGCTTGCTGTCTGCAGCATTAGATAGAATCTTGCTGTGACATCTCAGCACCAATCTGTCATCTTGCTTCTGCAGCAGCACTAGGATATCCTCCAACAGCAGCGTGTAGAGATCTGAAACGGACAATAGGGCGGCAGGAATGGGTTACAGATGACTCTATATAGTAACACATGGAAGGCCACAGAGTACTCAGCAGCATGCTCGCTCTGAATGGCATGCAAACCATTCATCTCAGAACTACAGATGAATCATCTTACAACATTCTGCTATGTCCCTGAACACTTAACAATCCTTTGGTCCATTTCAAACTGAGCAAAAAATAGCTTAATCAGCTCCAAGAAATGTACCTACACGATCAGTAGCAGCAGGGAAAACTTGACAAGTAGATGCACTTGCTAATTCCCTCCCCACCCACCCCTGCCTCTGCTACAAAGCACCTTACAAAACCTACCAATTGTCTTGTCCCGATTCACCTTCCAGGTCAGAGGCCCTTCATGAATCATCTTCTTCTTGGTTAAATCCAAATTCTGTCAATGGATTAGAGAGCAAAAAGCACTAGAATCATCACGGCAAACTAGAGGGACTTACAGCAGAAAAGATTTATAAACTACGATGGCCAAAAAGGGCCAAAAAAAGGAGTAAACCACATTTATGCCTTCCAAAAGTAAAGTAATAGCTGGAGGAGCCTGAAGTGGGGAGATGAGCCCTAAGGTGAATTGACTTTGAGTTACGGGCCTCTTTTTTGCTTAACTTGTTCCCTTCTCTTCTCCTTTGCATCTTCCTTCAAATCTGCACTATTGGAAGACCCAGCAAACAACCTGATTCTGAACACAGGACCAAAACCTGGCCTTTGGGAGGAAGAAGAAGCTCACCCTTTGCCTAGCAGTGGACATTAACTATCTTCAGATCTTGCCTTCTACTGAGAGGAGTGGAAAACACCCCAACCACTTGGATCAGGTAAAATGTCAGGTTCTGCCTCCTATTCTAAGCCAATAAAGTACACAGTGGGGCTAATATAACTGCTAGATTGTATTACAAGTCATAATCAGCTCAGAATTTCAGCATCAACCGATATCAACCAACATTTTGTTAAATGTTTCTTCTCCGCTTCATGAGAGCTTCCACACCAGTCAGGCAACCAACTGCAAAGGCCAATCCCTTCCCACCTAACAAAATAAAATTGAAGACCCATCTGTTCCTAGTTGCCTCTGAAGCTAAGGAAGTAGTCTAAGTAAATCCTACAGAGGAAGAGATTCCAAGTCTAAAGATTCTTCAGGAGGAGTGGGAGGAAAGAGGGATGACCAAGATGACCAAGAAACACTTAAATTTAATCCAGAATTAGAACATAACCACAGCTGCTATCTATCACATACACCATAGGTTGCGAACACTGTATGGAAAAAGCAATCTAGATGGAAATAAGTAGCAGAAAGATCTATAAAATAGGATTCTTTTATTTACAAAAAAGCTCACAAATCCAGAGGTTACTTTGTTGTTAGTATTTTTAGCAAAATTCCATTTTGGGAGTTTACTTGACTTTGGTGATTGTACTAACAACAGCATTTGAGGACCAAGTCAGGGAGCTACAGCACGTGGTTGCACAGCCAGACACTAGGTGTTCAATTTGCACCACGCCTTCTGTGAGAAGAGTCAGGCTGTAGGGCTTTGGACAGGCTGCCAGATCCTACAGCACCACAAGAAATAGGGATTGATGAATTACTTTGGAGTACTTTAACCTTAACAGTCCCGAGAAGTGTCACTGTTAAGTCTGAATCAACTGGATGGGACGTAGTTGATTAATGAACCTGTAAATCTACCGAGCTTTTCTCACAGCTCTGCCACTCACCCTAAATTCCTCCAGCATTGGGCCCTCTAACTGCTTCAGATATGACAAATCAAGCCGACGCTGGTAATCTTCCAAATGCTGCACGTGAATGAGAAAAATCAAGCGAAAATCAAGGTCAGCAGGCTTCAGTCAGGCAACAACACCGAAGAATGGTACCCCTTTCCTTGCATGGATGTTTCACCCCACTGTCTTTCATCCCTGAGTTTTGCAAACTCAGGTCCCTTTGTTTCTTCTCACCTGCTTGTTCTCTGCTTCTTTGACTGCCTGGTTCACAAAGTTGAGAATCTGCCGACAATGATCCGCTGCCTTCTTCACTTTTTCTTTCTCCTCAGGGTGTTCTAAAAATGAAAGAATCCAGGCAGAGGTCTTCAGAATACAGGCCACACATGGAAAATACTATATTCCACCTAATTGCATCATCAAATCTTAAATAATTCTATATCTTCTGTTATTTACTGTGGCTCCTTTCTCCTGTCAAAATCTGAAGTTGTGAAGTATGGTAAGAAGTCATTCCTGTGTTTGCTAATTTCTTGTCTGTGCACTTCTTGCATATGCTTCTAGAATTGCATGGTGATGTTGGACAGGAATGAAGACATGTAGGTTTAATGGTACTGGTAGGTCTCTGGGTGATCCACAGAGGATCAGCAACCGGCTCTAACTGCTGATTATTTAATAATAATGTCATCAAAAGGGCTACTTTGGCTTAACATGTCAAATTGTAGAAAGAGCAGGACAGCTACGAGTGGAATTTGTGTTGAAACACTGTGACTTCCATACAATTCTCTAACTCAGAACAAATTACTGGACATAAAATTCTGGACATTAAATTTCAGCTGGGCTTCTGTTTTTGTGTATCAGGCTCTGATCTGAGGGCTCTTAGGAGGAAAAAATCAAGTGGATCATGCAAACTAAAGACTGCCAACTCTTTACGTTGGAAGCAACCCTCCTGTCCCTGGCTGAGATCAGACCCATTATAATGCAAGAAACTGAAAGGAGCAGGTAGTTCATTTATTCTTCCCCTCTCTTTTCTTTATTTATTTTTTCTTTTTGTTTCAAGATTGCCTATTGAAAGCCATCCTGAAATAACACTGTACACTGTCAACCATTAACACTATAAATATTTCTAGCCACAGAAGAACCCTTAGGGAAAGCTTCAAAACGGTACTTTCAGGAAGAAAATCACCAAGGTTCTGTTTTGTGGAATCATATACATTACAGCCATGAGGAATGTAAGAAGACAGCAAGAGCCAGGACAACATTGAATACATGCCGTTCTTCCTGCCTCAGTTAACTCACTGGGATGCTTTACAATTCTTTGAAAGCAAGCTCTGATTTTTCTATTATGTCTCACTGACCAAAAGGAAAGCGGCTTCTCTTCCTCAGAGAAGACACGGGAGTATTTCCAAGAGATGAAGCAGGAATGAGACAGAGGCACCAACTGGCGCTACGCAACGAGTCACAGGAACCGGGGACCTTTGGAAGCCCCAGTTGTTCCTTTTCTACTGCCAAAGCCTCAGTGGAAAGTGCTATGTGATACCTGAGTACTTGGCAATATTATCCAGCAGAAGGGGATATTTGGTCAGCCTTTGCATCTCAGTAGGAATTATGTCTTTCAGTTGCAGTCGGCGACAGAGCGGATTGCTCTCAGCATCCTAAATTTAAACAGCATAATAACGGCGTTTGTCATTTTTATTAAGACCATAATTACCTGAATGTGCACCACCCATTCATCACAGAAATGTCCTGCTGGTTCACATTTTTAGCAATTAAATACAAGTCAAGGAACGCCAAGATTTATCAGGCAGGCAGCACAGCTCTGTCATACTGGGCAACTAATCAGAGGAGACTCATCACAAAAACTGGTGTTGGCCTCCTTCCTTCGTACAGACGGGATATCATCAGCAATCAGTCAGTCACTGATCTAAGAGGAGGCATCCTCCTGGTCTTTTGCGCCGTGCAGAAAGTGTGCTTCATTTCAGAATCCAAACCATTGTCAAAGGTCCAAATTTTTTAAAAAAACCTTCCTTGGTAGAGTAGGGTTTACACCTAGTTCCAGGTGGTCCCTCCTCCGCCAGCAAGAAGTGTTGTGCTCACTCTGGTTTAGGCCAATTGTTAAAAGAAGTTTTTAAAGAGCCCTAGTTTGAGGCATGAGTACCTTGGTGCTGGCAGGCTGAACCTCAAGGGTCCTTCCAGCCTATAAAGGCGCCTTCTGCCAGCCATGTAGTTGCCATAAATCCATGTGGGATGAATAACCCATTCTGCATCTTACTGAGCTCAAAGCAGGGCTAACTTGAAAGAAAACCTATCAGCCAGTTTGCATTACTGTACAGGCGAACTCCTCTTTGGTCAAGCATCACAGCTTGGGGCATTCCTCACAATTTTGGGATTAAGATTCTTCCTTTAAAGATGGCAGACAAAGATACTCTCCAGCCAAATGAACATATTAATCACTGTCTATTACCTTATCTTCACCTACGACCTCCTCTGACTCTCTAACAACTGTAAGCCTGATCAAAGACCCAGAAAGAATTACCTGGACAAACGTCTGGAACCGAGAGTCCTTCTTCTGCCGGGATTTGATCACCTCCAGGGCAAAGGGCTGGTTGCTACAGAAGGTGGCAGTGGCTTGCTTCAATTTGTCCTCCCCTGCTCCACTGAACTGAGACAAGAATCCATGGGAAGCAAATGTGAAAAAGGAATACAGAACAAGTGGAGTCAAGCACTGACACAAGCAGTGGTTTATAAAATCATTCTGACAACAAAAGAACAGTTGAAGTCAAAGAAGGATCCATCGAAAACACACTCTCCTCTGGCCCTTATTGCAACTTCTCACCTTTCCATCCCTCTCTCCCTTCAGCAAGATTTAGAAACAGGGATTCATGTTGTTGTTCATGTTGCTGTTTTGACTTATAGACTGCCCCAAAGCATTTTCTGAGAGGGTTTACAGCATAATTATTCAAACAAGGCTTTGTGTACTACATTCCTGACCCTTGTAAAGAATTATCAACACAGACATTCGATGATTTGAAATGTATTTATTCCTAATAGGAATGGGCGTGACTCTTGTTTAGAGTACTTAGAAGAACTTTAGCACAAGGAATGTCATTACTAATACATGTACACCCAGAACCATTTCCTATTAGAAATATCCAAAGGATTCATTTTCTGGAAGTAAGAGGGAATTAATGCGTGAAATTAAGCACAGAAGTTAAACCTTTACAACATTCCAGTTGGTTCATTCCTTTGTCCATCTAAGTTTTGCTTTCTCTCAACTTCACTGACAAGTTTCAGAGAGATAAACAAGTCCTTCTCCCCTCCGCTATTTTGGCAGGTCACCTTTAAGCTAAATGACTCGTTCATTTATTGTTAATTGAAGTTTTTTTTTAAACCACTCAGCTAGAGAGTTGCTCTGTGAGAGAAGTGGAACACGTACACCATGCTGAGCTCCCTTCATCTTCCACAGTTCTGACTCCCCCGTGAAGCATTTCAGATAATAGGCTTCCAGACAAGACATACTGCCAAGGATGACCCATGGCACTGTTAGCTATTTCATTACCAATCTTCTGTTTCTTGAAACATTTCACTTTTCAGAAGAAGAAAAAACCAGAAGCAAAATTCTGTTTACCCAAGTCAACAAGTCCTCTCCAATCTGATCAATCACGGATGTCTCATTCCTCTTCCTCACTGCTTTCATCTGCTCATTCAGTCCAGCTAAGCAAGAAAAGGAGACAAGAGGGAGGGAAGAAATTACTGGTGCTCTGGAACCATAGCCCCACATGTGCACAAGAACTCTGTTGTGCAAGAGCATCCATATTTGTCCGCGTGTCAGCCACACACACCCGAGTTCACCTTCACTTTGTGCCTAAAGCCACCCCTTTCTTATGTGAACAGTAAGTCTTTGCATGGGCTGGAGATCCATCTGCTTATTTATCAGAGATTCCACTCAGATTATCTTTAGATTAGGCTGAAGCTTGCAAAAGGCTCTGTAAGTTCTACAGATACCTTTCCTTCTGCCAGTCACCTTCCTGTGCTACTCCTTTTGGACATTATGTTAGCCCTCCGCGAAGGGAGGGGGAGAGAGAGGCACTGATGATGCAAGGAAGGAAGGAAAGCCCCAACTCCCAGTCTACTCAGAAAGGAAAAAGAGAAACCACAAATTAACCATAAATTCTGCACATTCTCAAGAATCCATTTCAAAATAAAATGAGGGAATGTATAAGTAGCTGGCATTTTACAAAAGTGTTTCTGATAAAAGTTTATTCTGACAGTATTCCTAGTATTTTGTTTCGCTACAGAGCCAAGAAGGAAAAACAGAAATGTTTCTACTGCCCCTTGGAGGATATTATCCAAAAACCATTAAGGCTCTGTATCCCACTTTATTTCAAAGAGAAGACCATCTTAGATGGGGAACCAGCATTGAACGTAGTAGGAAAGACTGGCTTTTAGAGATTAAATTCAGATTAATTTTGAATCCTCTATATTACTTCCACTATTAGCAATTGGAGGGTAGTTTCCTATCGAAGTTTCAAATCCAGTGCCTATGCATAGACAAGCTGGAGGAAAACAGAGATGTGGTAAGAGCAACCAGGTGGACTGGAAGTCTCAGAATGGAATCCTGCAGGAAATATGTACCCAAGAGGTGTTTCCGTAACCCTCTTTGTTTCAAGAATGATGTGTGGCTGTCTGTTGTCTGCAGAGTTCTCCTCCATTCTGTCTGGCGACAGAACAATGCTGGCCGTTTATCACTGTGGTTCCAGTAGAAATGAAAGTGGCTTCAAGGTGCCCTCACTCACCATGAAGCTGAAGGATGTCTTCCAGATTTGAAAATATTCTCTTCAGGTCAGAGGGAGGCAAAATCCCCTCACGAGATACCCGCTGATAGAAGACCTGATCCAGAACCTTCAGTGTCCGGACATGAGCACGCTCAGTGTAAAATAACTCTAGAAACATGGAAGAGAAATTGGATAGTTGTAACGGCCTTTCTACCAAAAAGCTAGAAAAAGGATGGAAAGAAATCAAACAATTTAATATCTGGATGTCACAGCATGCTAGAAGCTTGTCAGTGAGAGAGCTTAAATAACTGCAGGGGAAGATGGTCACCTTGTGAGAGCTGCAAATTAAGCCTGTGAAAAATCCCCATTTTATGATGCACATGCACCTCAGGAATCCTGGGGTGGATGGGTGGGATTTTTACACTGCAACTGAATAAAAAAGAAAGGAGGCATGTGAATGATTACATCTGATCTTCCTGGAGTGTGCTAGCTCTCTCTTGAAAAAACAGACAACGCCTTGAAATTAAGTTGTGTTCAAAAAACCACTGGGGCTATTTTAAAACCAGGGTTAATTTAAAATTGTATCTTTCTGGGGAACCTACGCTGCCTTTTATTTTTCCCAGTTGGGAAAGACTTCAGGCTGCCTTCTGGGTCCTTCTACCAAAAATCTACCACTGTTTCATCCTGACCCGAGAACTCATATTCTATCTCTCCTTCAACATCTGTGCACAGACATTTCTGATCCTGACACTTGTGAGAATTCACAATCCCTGCTCAGAGCAATCTAAATAAAGACAAAGCCAGTCCGGAAGGGTTGACAGGTTTCTAACCAACACATAGCAACCAGAACAAAGGATGCCCCCAACTAACCTACCATTAATTACTTCCTGACGTTTAATCTCAGAGGGTTTCAGGCCAAGCAGCACCTCACGGCTCACCAGCTGCTGCCAGTTGGGTGGGTCTGTCTCCAGGTCAAAATCGAATAGCTCATCTTCGCTCTGAATATCCCCAGCACCTACGGTGTCCATCCTGGAAGGAGAGACGCTTTAGTGAAACCTTTCTTTAGTGGAGAAACAGAGTTGGTAAATATACGGAAGAATTTTTTTAAAAACCAAGATAGTAGCCTCATAAAATGCCTTATAGACTCAATGAAGTTGACTTTTTTTTTGGTAGAAATGGAATTTGATGAATGACCTCTATAAAGAAAGGCCACTGCCAGCAGCTCATCAATTATGGCTGCAATCTTCCAGTACTCTTTGTTTTACCTTCTGGATGAAGAGAAATGCAATATATATCAGAGTTACCACATATATCGTAATATATGGTATATATACAGTAACTCTGTATAATAACAAAAATGGGTAGAAGCTTATCTTTACAGCATCACAGAACAAAAGAAATTAAGCATTTAAAAACAGTTAATGTTAATGATATCATCAATTCAAGTTGCACCCACCCTGTATCATACTTGGGTATCAAAATAAAACCTTACACTAAAGCATTTGAATTCATAGCTGTCCTTATCCACAGGGCACAGAGACATTTAAGTGTAAACACATGAGTTTTTTCACCACACACCGTTCAATTCATGCACACCCAGACAAGCATACTGGAGACGCCTTTGTATACTCACTTGCGGAAAGCTTTTGGTGTTCCTGACTCTGGTAACCTGGAAGGGAAATAATATTCTTATTTCAGCACAGAATGATGGGGTAAGGCACACAATCACATTTCTGATCCCATATTCTAGAACAGATCTTAAGCTGTGACTAAAGATGTGGGTTTCCTGTCAATACACCAAAACAGCTAAATAGAGAAGGATCAGAGCACAACCAAAAAGTTTAGAAGACCACAAACTTTCTAGGCTTATAAAAAAGACACAGACTCTGCTGAACTCTAGCCCCCACCACCACCACAACAAAGCTGGTGATGCCCAAGTCTAACCATAAGGCTCAGCCTTGCCTTTCAGACTCTCCTTCCTCTTCTTGCAAATGGTCCAGTGGAGGAGATGGGAAATCAAATATGGTGTTTGCTGTACGAGGTGTTCCATCCACAGAGTCACCAGAGGGAGGGGTTTCTCCAACTTGTTTTGGACCTTAAACATATAAAAAGGTAAGTGTGTTACAACAATTTCTCAAATTCTGAAAACTCACACTTCTTTTCTCAAATCCCAAATCTTCCCAAACCTCCCCATGTCATTTTTCTGCAGCATTTCAGGAGGCATCTGGGTCTCCAGGGTTCAGCAATTCCAAAGAGGTTGCAATCCACACATTAGGAAATACTGACGGCCTGACATTTTGCTTTGTATATGAGAAGCTCACAGCAAGCACATTCAGGCTGGTGGAGGCATTTTTAATGATAAACTATATTTTTACCCATTTCGCTGTCCTTGCTCCCATCCTGGGATGGAGATGTTCCAACTGCCAGTGGAGACATAAGATTTGCAGGGGGTAGGGTTGCATCGGCGCCATCGCTGGACCCACTCTGGCGCATCTTGCCAGAGTCTGCTGGCTCCGGACTGATAGAGGAAGACGTGGATAAGTGCTTCAGATGGCGCTGCTTTTGTATTTCCATGGCTCTGCCTACTGGAGAGACAAGGGAGCAATCAGCTACAGGGAAAATCCTTCTCACTCACATAATGGGCCCCTGATAAAAAGGAATGTGCCACACATTTCAAATTAAAGATGGCAGTACAGGTAGTAAGAATTCATTTTAAGGAATATTTCCAAAATAACGAAGCACAAGTATTCAACAAGGTGTGTGCAGATTTATGTTTTTTTGGAATTCTGGGAGTTGCAATGCAAAATCCACTGCATTTGCCCACCTCTGTTCAACACTCAGATTTGGAAGAATAGGGTTCTGTTGCTAGAAGAGAAATATCTATTTCTTTAACTGACGTACTTGCATAGCTGTCATGGCGGCTTGGCCTCCTTGGGGGTCCCAGGATATTAGGAAAGACTCTCCTCTTTTTTTCATCTCCTTCTTTCTCTTTCTTTATACTTTGCTATAGAAGAAAAGCAGTCAAGGAGAGTTATGGCAAATAGACTTGCAACATATTTCCACCAATATTAGGAATACTTCCCTTTTAGGTGTGAAGGAAAGAGGACACCAGGACAAGCAGAAGCAATGCCTAGCCACAACTTTTGCTGCCCGAAGGAAAGAGGACACCAGGACAAGCAATGCCTAGCCACAACTTTTGCTGCCCAAGGCGGAACATGTAAAAAGCGTTTATCATTCACAAGGCACAACCCACTGAAATGAAGGAAGATGGAGCAGAGCACGAGATAGATGTTATGAACCAGGCTCTCAGATCTGCCTCTTTCCACAACTTGGAGGCAAAACTGGGGAAGCACCAAGAGGGCAGTGCAGCTCCTAAGAGTGAGTGCATGTTTCCTAAGGTAAGGGAAATGTTATTTTGTTCTCAGTGCTCCCAATCCATGCAATAGTTATTGCTTATTTACTATTTACCTTTATACCTGACTTTTCCTCCAGGCAGCATAGATGGCACATCTCCTGCCTATGACCATCCTAAGAGGCAGGTTAGGCTGAGAGACAGGGATTTGCCCAAGGTGAGTCGCATGGAACCATGGGCGTCTGAACCTGGGCCACCCAAGCCCCAGTCCAACCATTCAGTTCCGGTACAACATGGGTCCTCTGTACAGAGGAGCAGGGCACTCAGGGGTCCAAGAGTCTGTCTCCCACACAGCCAGAGGGAGTCACGGAGCACGGCAGCTGTCACCGCAGTCACTCCGGTCAGCCTCATGGAAGTGGTTCTCTACTGAGAAAAGGCGCTGCACAACCCGCAATGAGGCCTTTGTGCAGCCCATGGGGAAACATCAGCAGCTTTTACAGACAGTGGGCGATGGCACCGGTCGGGTGGAGGTCAGCTTTTGCCTTGTGTTAGCTCGCATAATTTAACCTTTCTGAACCATCTGGACAGGAACTCTAACTAAACACGTGCCACCGTTTACCTTGATCTTTGGCAGGAATCCGATCCGTCCCCGCTTCTGATCCAGACTCCTGGGCTCTTTGACTCTCACACCGAGATGTTTCATATAGGTAAGAATGACATACTGTATTGCTGAACTACACATGAGGACAAAGAAAAAGATGAGGGATATTTAAACGGCAGTTAAAACAGCTGCTTTATTATTATTATTA